CCTTTTCCTTTTAAACATATGAAGTAAATATATTTTACTTTTTTAAAATAATTATTTTAGATACATAAATGGATGTATGCATATGCATCATTAGCTACAATGCTCAAGTATGAAAGTTTCCATGGAACTGCTTTGTGTTAATAGCAGTAGATAAATACAGGACTGAAAATCCATCCAATTATCTAAATGGATAAGAGTATTTATGGACTTAGTAATTTATTCAGAATTCAAGAGAGACACAGAAAGAAATCTTATTCCAGAGAGACTAAGAAAAATGGAGAGTATAAACCCAAACCAAAATTACCACAGTAGTGTGAGAAAAAAATTTACTCCTCTGTCACTAAAAGCCTATAAAAATTTATAAATTAAGAAATACTAGGAGCATAAGAAGATATCACACATCACCAAAGAGCTAGCTGAAAACTTAATGCAAATCAAGGAGGAAGTAGGACTTTCAGAGGTGTACGATAGTGATCTTCAGCTCACACCAGAGAAAAAACACCTGTTTTTTTTCTTTTTGGAAGGCCCAGATATGGTACCATGCCAGAGAGAACAGCTCAGACGCAGCCACACCTGACCATCAGTTGGAAAAGGCTGCTTAATCACAGTTGTCAGAGAAAAAGACAGACACAGCAGGAACAAGGAAAGGCTGCTAGTAAAGGAGGTCAGGGGAAGGGATAAGAGAGTCATATCTATTTAAAGATCTGATTCTACAAAAACTATTATTAATAATTTCCTCCTATAAGATGACACATAAATCTTTATAGTAGCAACTGCAGACCTAATAGGCAAAGAGTATGAGGGAAGCAAGGCTTGTAGGGAAAGGCAAGGTCTGTTTTTAGAACAGCTGACAAAAAAAAAGAAATAAAGAAAACCTTTTAGATTTAGAGACGTTACAGTTTTACACATCAGACCCTGAGGAAGATCATTCACCACCCTGTAATGCCCTCGTGCATGTAGAAAGCAGACTCAAGCCTCTTTGTCTGACTGTTGAGGTGCTCGGAAAAACACCTGTGAAACAGAAAATACTGAGGACCAAACTAGTATTCCCCCCATTTCTTCCCCCCATTTTAGCTAATCTCAATGGGAGCTGAAAGCATTTTGCTTGATGTGAAGCAAAACAATAGATAAATATTTTACATGACAGCCATAATTAATAGGAAGAAATTAAAGAGCTGCCTTTTAGTGAAAGGAGCTTAGCATGGAAATTAAAAAATGAAAACGCATAAAAAGAAACCTAGGAGATTAAATGGAGAAAGAAGCTAAGCATACAGCACTAGACTTTCTAGAAGTAAGAGTCACTGCTGTGCATTGGAAAGAAGGGGTAAAGATGAGCTGAGATTCACAGTGCCAGTCTATCCAGCCTCTGCTGTGCAGGACTGGCGTCACAGTTGGAAGCCAAGCTGAAGAACTGCTCTTGTTTTCTTAAGATAGCATTTCCATTTTGTGCCTCAATGGAAGCACTTCTTCCAATTCCTCTTCTTCCTGTGCTAATATGCACCTGCTGGAACAGTAAATCCTGTTATCTATCTATGGTTATCTATCTATTAACCATATATAACCCACTGGCTTTCATGGCTTACCCTGCTACATTATTTGTACAATTGAATGCAGGAATTTTATTCATACTTCATGGCCTGCTTGGCTTAGCAGCATGTGCCACAATAGTAGAAGATCTAGCTTTCTCTTCTGTCACCCTGGGGACCCTGAGCGACATCCATCACCGTGAAAGCCTGGCAATCTACTGCAGCAATGAGAACTTCCCGCTGCTACAACAGAAACAACAGGTCCCTTTCACCTTGCTGTAAAAATCACAGCACTATGAACAATACTGCACATTTCTCAGCACTCCATAAGAAGAAAGTGCCAGGAGTAGGAGGCCGCCCACCGAGACCACGCTCGAGAGTCAGGCCCTGCACTGGGCCCCCGAAGGGGCTCTCCGAGGACGTGGTTCCACCCAGCACTGCAGCATTTTAAGCAGAGAGGGAGGCGCACGGAACCCCGGGATGGGGTCGGGGACACGCTCGCCGCTTCCCGCACGCCAGGGACACCCGGAGCCACGGGGCTGGTCGGGGCTCCGTCCGCCCTCTCCCACCGGCCCGACCTCGCCCCAGCAGTGGCAGCGGCAGCCGCTGCCCCGCCCGCAAACCCTGCGCCCCGGTGGGGCCGCGCCGGCACCGCGCTCAGCACCACGGACAGCGGCGGGGCCGCCACCGCCCCCCACCCACGCACCTTTCCGGATGAGCTCCTCGCTGTCCGGCTCGTAGCCCGCGCGGTGGCAGCGCCTCCAGAGCCCCGAGACGGTGGAGTTGAAGCGGCGGCCGCAGTGCGAGTCCAGCGCGGCGGAAGCGGCGGCGGCCGGGGCGGGGGCCGGGGGCCGCCCGGGCAGGAGCGCCCGCGGGGGCCGGGCGCGGAGCGGCAGGTGCGAGCTGGGCGCCGACATGGAGCCGGGCGGGTCGCTGCGCTTGTGGCCGAAGCCGCGGCAGCGCTCGCGGTGCCGCCGCGCGTCCGTCTCGTACCAGGAGTCGGTGCCGATAGCCACGGCCAGGAGGGCGAGGGCGGCGGCGGCCAGGAGCAGCCCGGTGCCGCTCAGCGCCTGAGCCGCGGCCGCCATCTTACCGCGCCGGGGGCGGCAGGGGCGGGCGCTTCCCTGCAGCCCGGCTGGGGCCTCCGCCCGCGGCACCGCCCCGGAAGGGACACCGGGCCAGCGCCCCCTGCCCCGGCACCGCGCCGACCTCCCCGCTGTACCGGCGCATCGTCCCGGGGCCCTCCGGCCCGGGCTCGAGGGAGTCCCGGCCGCCGGCCCCCACCGCAGCGCTGGGCTCCTGCTCCGCGGACCGAGACCCCCTCCCTTGGCGGAGTCCCTGTCCGGCCCCCGGCAGCTACCAGGGGATGGATGACCGGGGGAAGGGGTGAGCGGAGCCCCCGACGCTTTCCGCGGCCTCCCCTTGCCCGTCCAGCCGGCCTGCCCGGAGGGCAGAAGGGCAGAGATCAGCCCTGCCCACACCGAGGTGCTGCGGCAGCCAGCAGTTTTTCAAACGTGAACCAGAAGTGGTCACAGCACCAAGCCTGAGTTCAAGTAGTGTTTGGACAGTATGCTGAGGCACATGGTATGAATCTTGGGGATGGTCCTGTGGAGGACCAGGAGTTGGACTCGATGATCCTTGTGGGTCCCTTCCAACTCAGCATTTTCTGTGATTCTGTGTGATTCTGTGAAATACGAACACCTCCCCCCAACAGCATTTGTTGACGTTTGGTTGATGATTTCTCCTCAACCCCTCATTAGCGGTTAATGGAAAATAAGGCCTGAAAAGCTGAAAAATGTCAATCTATTTTATGCAATGAGCAGCAGGCTAAATCCACCATTAGTTAAATGCAGCATTTCCAGGGGCACAAAATCCCTTCTGATCCCGCTTGTTGTATGGGACTTATTCCTCCAGTTCCAGCATTATCACTCAGATGCCAAAGCCAGATAGGCTAAGTTGTTAGGCCATTGTCTTGTCCATTCTGGCCCCAGATAAAATGATCTACTAATATCTCTAAATTACAAATTTATTGCCCAGTTTTGAAATCCTTAGTTTTGTACTTTGTTTCCCAGGAACAACTGATCAACTGCAAGGAGATTCAGATTTCCCCCCCGCCCCGCCCTTGTCACTTCTTGGTCTCTTGTCCACACCAAGCACAGCCTAAACACCCTTCCCAGCATTTCTCCTGCAACGTCGCCCAGAACAGTGTACTGCTTATCTCCCCAGAGCACTATGCCTGGTGGAAATATGCAGCAGTCACAGCTAAAGCTTGTTTTAACCACATTTCAGCATGATCCTCTTCTGCAGTTTGCACTGGACAGATGGGATTACCATCCATGCAGCTGCACATTAGTGCCTTCAAGGCAGACAAACTGAAAGGGCTGCTGTCAAAAGAATTTTCTTACACATACCAGCTAAATTAAATCTTCCCCATGAAGAGCGAAAAATAATTTTCAAATACAATCACTGCTCTAGATAACATGAGAAAATCCTTCAATTGTAACAGCTCTTTCCTGGAAAGATCCGAATATTGACATTTCCTAAATCTGCAATCCTATTATGTCACCCCACCCTCTACATCAGCACCCGAGGCTATAGTTTCAGAAGGCAGGGGCCTCAGAAAAATCATCACCTTAGAAAGTTCCCATGTACAATACTTCCAATTGTTCTCCCTTCTGTGTTACTGCAATTAGTACCAGCACAGCCAAAGAGTGCAGTGTGGTAAATCCAGGGACAGAGATTCCAAAATGTAGATTGATGGCAAAGTCTACAGACTGTGAAATCACACCCTTGATCACCTACCTGCCTTCATCTTCTTCCAGCTCTTGGGCTGTGGTTTTCCATCTTCTTACAGAACGCTTACAGAACTGAGAGTCATGTACCATTATTGTAGGCAGAAAATCTTCCAAATGAAGAGTGAGATAAGACACGTACTGAACCCATGTTTTTGAAGGGTAGAGAAATTCCTATTAGTCCTTTCTGGGCAATTCTGACACATAACGTTTGATAAGTGCACCTTTGTTCTACACGGCAGGAAACCAGCTTAGTGTTAAATTGATACCACACAGGCCTACAGTTTTTTGATTAAAAAAATAACTGATCACAACAAAGTATAATTGCAAAACTCTCTGGACAGTCAGTTACCATGCAAGCTTTCCCCTGAAAGAGGAGAAACTTATTTGGTGATGCTTTTCAAGGAACCTAGACCAGCAGTCAAGAATTATGATTGGATCACACTGCTCCTGGATGACAGTTCCTTGGCAGCAGGAAGAAGAAACTGGATTAGAACTTTTTTTTTCAGTTGTGAAGGTCTGACAGCAAGACAGAGGCCAGACTTCTCTAGACTAACCCAGAGATATGGCTCTGTCATTCAAATGGAATCTGAATTGAATTTTTAATTCAAAGAAAAGTAGTAGTTTAAAAAAAACCCCACAAAACAAAAAAGCAAACAAACAAAAAAAACCCAACAACATAAACCAACATGAAAAATCATTTATTTCATCTCTATTGTCTCCATGAAGAGCAGACCAATACAGATGAAGTGGGAAAATGAATAAGAGCAGCTGAAAAAATAGAGCTAGAAAATACAATTCTCTCTGTATTTCCAAAAGTGACAAATGTGGTGGATTGATGCTCCATTTCCTCCCAAGGCTCTCCATCCTCAGCCCCAGGGCTGACGTAGAAAACTTTCAAGCCCCTCCCTCCCACAAGCCCCATGCTACCTCCTACCAGGGTATCTTCCCAACAACCAGGCCTATGGTAGCAGCCAAGAAAAACAGCTCTGAAATTCTTTCTTCAGTGTCATCCACTTTACATTCCTGAACGCTGAGTACAAAATCCTGACTGTGGTTTTCAGTCTTGGCAAGGCTCGGTGCTGATGCAACAACGCCAACTCATGGGCACTCACCTGGCAGTGCCTCAACTTAAATGCCAGCCTTATTTTGGGAGAGAAATCTTGAGAAACAGCAGGCACATCCTTCTGTGCAAACCTGCTTCCCCCAGAGCCCCATTACAGGGTCCACTTAGTTGCAGTCCCTGGGCAGGGGTGAACCCCCAAAGCTAGATCTAGAGGGCTAGCATACCCACCCAGTCCCTGCAGACTACTTGGATTAGTCATCCTTCCAGGAAAATGGGAAGCAGATGCTACCTTCAGACTTCATGACAATTGAACGGCAGAGTAGTTGGCATAGGAAGGCAATTTTGTAAAGAGGAATAAAACCATTGCTCTAAGCCTTCCTCATTGTTGCAGTGAAATTACTTATTGCTGTAAGTCTGGGGTAAGGAAAGCTGAAAAAATTTCAGGCAGCAGTTCCTGGGCAGATAGAACTGCAAGCATGAGCTCTTCAGCACTTGCTGAAAAGTAGGACAGGAGCTGTCATAAAAAAGAACTGTGTCAACAGTTCAGGAATCTCTTAGGGAAGTAAATGCCTCTGCTGTGGGTAGCATACCTGCCTCACTGCTCTGACCCGAATCGCCCTCTGAAGGCATGAGCCCTCTTGATAAGGACCTGTGCAGATTGGAGAGCTGTAGTGATTTACAAAAGCTGTTTAAAGACAGAGCTAAGTTGGTGCAATGGACACTGGGGCACCTGCTTTGTACCCGGTGACTCCACTAGTTCAATTAGACCTGTTTCTAAACAAATTTAAGCAAAGCAAGGATAAGCTCTGCAGAAGAGATGATCTAGTAATTGTGCACATCTCTGTGGCAATAAAATATGCCTGTGGAATTATGGCCCGGTCAGCCTTGTGAGCTGGGATGCAGGAAAGCACTAGAAATATTATATTTTTATTGGTCTCAAATTGCCAAAAATTTTATCCCAAGCATCACAAAACAGAAAACTCCTCTTAAAGCATACCTATCATCACCTTTTCATATCCCTCTCTCTCCTTACCTAGCACACAACTTGACTATAAAAATATTTTTAAAATATTTTCACCAGTAGTTTCAGCCTTCCCATTTAAGAGCTGTCAGTATTATTCCTTATCCATTCGTCCCCAACAGATGAACATCACTGTGAGGTAAGAAGCCCAGAAATAGGCTACCATCTAGGTTTTTGGTTATAGCATGCTCTTAAATGGTCTACACTGAACAGAGGAAAAGTTAACCAGGAGTTACCAGCTGCTGGCCAGGCTGTAGTGTTCAGCTACCTCTGCCATGACAGTCTAGGGATGCTATAGCATGTCAGGCAGGGCTAACATGCTACACCTCAAGAAAACTCTGAAACATGGTGTGGGGCAGATAGTGGGTGACACAGGGCTCAAGAGCAGTCTCAGAGCTGTGTTCAGCTAATGGTTATGAGGAGAGGGAGCTCAGTCACAGCAGCTATATGTCTTTCCTTCCAGATGTAGGTGAGCTGGTAGTATGGCAACAGAAGAAACATTTACTAATCATTTATCAGATAAACAGGCTGTGCTGGCTTTTGGAGTGGTTAGGGCTGAGGAAAGTAATCTCCAAGCTGAGTCATTTAATTATAGTGACCTATCCTAAAGTGCCTCAAGCTTTTGGCTCAATTTAAACATAAACAAATACAAAATAGACCAAAAAAGCTGGACTGCTGAGGCTAATACTACTCTTTAGGAACAAGCAATGTCAATAAAAAGCCGGAGACCAAGTTGGAAAGGGCCTTTTCCCCTCTATCTCATAGCACCATCAACTTCTCGTGGGTAGGGAGTTCTGGCTAAAGCTGTTAGTTTATTGTTTTTTGTAATCCCTGTTCTGCCTCCAGCCACTAGTGGTAGGAAAAGTCCTTAGTCCTCATCAGCTACAGGAATCGCCTCAGTTGTTTTCACGCAAGAGCTTGGGAAGGCGCAGTTCCATCAGAACAAACTGAATGAAATATCATTCATTCATTGTGGAGCAGTTGTTCGGTTCATTTCTGCCCAGTGTATCTTTTGCTCCATAAAACCCAACCAAACCAAAAAAATAACAGAAGCCCTGGTGTGTGGATTTTAGCAGAACAGGAATAGGAGAGCCAGGGAATCAAGTCCTGCACATCCAGGCCTCTTTCTCACCTGCTTCTCATACTAGCAGCCAGATCTGCACTCACACACGTCAGAAGTAACATTAGTGTTCCTTATTGCTTTGTAACAGCTCAGAGTCACTGCAGTGGCTCTGGGAGGCATCACGAGGTCTGCGCAGAGGTCACTCAGTTGTGAGCGCAAGTAGCACCATGACTATAATGCCTGTACACAGGAGCAGAATTTGCTGCAGGGAGTTCCTGGGAAAGAAACAGTAAAGTTAGGAGGACCCATAGACCAATCCCCACAGGTAGCAGCATAGAGGCTCTCAAATTGTTTGTTGTTTGCCCTTCGCCATTCCAAATCTACCACATGGAGAACACAACAGCTGTATGAAGTCACTAATACAGCTGAGAAGACTCTTTCCCAGCACCCTAAGCAAAGATGTTGTCTATAAACTGACATGTACTTGTTCCACTCAGCTGTAAGACCCAACTCCAGGTTTCAAAATCAACTTAAGCTGATTCAGACTTGTAGCTTCAGGAATATATTCCTGTCGTCTCACTCACAAGGGAACCAACACTTGTGCAGCACGTTCACAGACACTTTAGGGATCTCATCCAGCTAACAACCACAGTTATAAAAGGAAAAATAAAGCAGCAAGATGATGCATTTGGCCATTCTTTTAGCACTATCTCAGGTTTATGCTGGATTGAAGTGACTGCATACCTCCCACATCTGCACACTCTAGCAACAACCTTTGCTGGCACGAGAGGTTACCAATCCAAAAGCAAACTCCCAAACTAGTCATTAACATTTCTCCACCAGAAGTTCCTGCCTCCTCACATATAACTGTGGAGCTGTTTTTTTGAGGAATGTTTCAGTCAAAATTAACTAGCTGAGACAAGGCATCTTATTTAAACCACAGAAGTTGCCTGTCTCATTACAACTGAAATAGAAGGGAACATTCAGGGGCAGCTCTGCCAGCAGATCTGAGAAGGCCTTTACTGTGGTACAGCTGGATTTGGACCTGCTACAGCCTTAATTAGACTGCAAGAAACTAGAATAATACACGGGGGGAGGCCAAATATACTGGAATACATACACCAGTGCAGAAGAAAGATGACTGAGGTGGGATACAATGACAGACTATGAAATGTTGAATGATAAAGAAAACTATTATTTTCTACTGACACAGCACCATGGTGACATCTAATAAAAAAAATAAAGCAGTAAGCAGGAGTGTAAAAATCAAATAATAAGAAGTATCACTTAACACAGTGCAGTGAAGCTATGCAAACTTTCTGCCAAAGGGAGATTGCAGAAGCCTGAACTAATGGATAAGGTCAAAAAGGAATGAGAGAAGCATGGGAAGGATAGATTCACATATGGTTACAGACATACACACCTCTATGGGGCCCAGGTTCAGACAGTCCCTAAACCAGCACATGCCAGAAGCTGAAAAGACAGACAGGGCAGCAGATGTGCTAACTGGACATATTTCTGAGGAACTTGCTCTAGCTGGTCATGCTACGTACTGTGCTAGCACAGTATTTTGGGACTGACCCAGTTAAAGGTTCTTGTGTTTTAGAGGGTCTTTGTAGTCCCATAAGCGCAATAGATAGCACAGCAGTCTATTTTGATTCCAGCCTTGCCCATGGGATTTGGAAAGCCAGCATTCACATGCTTCCAGAACAGGCATAGGGGAGGGTTATATTCCTGCTCCCTGGCAGCAAGAATTGCTGCAGCAGAACAGGAGGGAGCACTTACCAAGGATTCTTTTCCTCCAGGAGATCAGGCACAACATTTACCAGGGCAATATACAGAAATCCTCCAGAAGTGAAAGGGAGGATCCAGGCTACTGTTTCACCTGCACAAATACGGAAAGCTTTTGTTATTACTGAGCAGAGCCATGGGAGACAACACTGAAGGAAAAGAAGATACGCACGTGGGGACAACAAGCACCTCCTTTCCCCATTCTAGAGGACCCAGGGAGCCTTACCTGCTCCTTTTGGTGACTGAGCACATATTGCAAAGCAGGCTCCCAGAATTCCCCCCAGAGCTGTGGAAAGCTGCATTTTGGCTGCACTCCAGCGGTCAAAGCCAGCCCGAAGTAAGATTGCAAAGTCTCCAACCTAAGAAAACCAAGAGTTGACAGTTAATAAACATGACTATTAAATTCTCAGTCACAAAGGCTGTTGCATCTGCAGCAAGACCAGTGCTTCAAGACTGTTTCTGCTTTTCCATGTTGTCAGTCTCCCAGAGGGAGCAGCTTTCAAAGGGACAAGAAAATATTAACCAGACCCAGGCCTCCCCTTAGTAAGTGAAGCACCTTGTAATTCCCCTCACAATGGCAGGATCCAAAGCCCTCTCACCTCATGTGGAATTTCGTGCAGGAGAATGGCCACTGTGGTTAGGAATCCAACCTGCAGCAGAGAGAAGGTGATTAGGAAACAATCAAGAGTATTCTTGGATGAATCCCATCAGGTCCCATACAGGGACCAGGGATCCAGCTGTAACAGCAGATCCTACACAAGTTCAGGGTTGATTAGGAGTTTATCATTCTCGCAGTCATGGTCCTCCAGCTCAGGGCACTGGAAACCCCATAGCCCATCATCAGTGTTGAAAACTGAAGTAAAAAAAGCATTAAACATCTCTTCCTTGTCTATGTCCCTGTTTCTGAGGTGACCATTCTCATCATATAAGGGGTCAATGCTATTTCTGGCCTGGCTTTTGAATAGATGAGCTAATTCTTCCCCCAGTGCCAGTCCAAATGAGTAATGTGTCCCAGTCTTGAGGAAGCTCTGTATTAGAGGATCAGGATAGAGTTGGTTTTTACTGTAGTCTGCATTTTCTCAGAAAACTCCATAAAACAAGGGCTCTCCAGTTCAGTACACAGCTGGGAACAGAAACCTTACCTTTCTGCTAACCAGGAAGCTGGCTGCTACTGCCAGGCCATGTGTGAAGTTATCAATGGTGTTGGCCAGTAAATTGAGGTATCCACTAATCTGCAAAGAAAAGGAAGAGCCCTCGATAAAGGACGAGACATCAGAAGATAAAAGAAAGCACGTGGTTTAGACACAGGTTATGCAGTCACAATCAAGTGGGAAATGTCAGGACATAGCACTTCTACTGAAGATCTTAAACTACGCCAGTGCTTGAGTACAGATTAAATGTAATTTTTGGTTTTAAAGTAAACTAAGTTAGGCAAGTATTGTCTGAGATTAGAATAATTACCTTGTGCAAATGACAAAGATCTCTAGATAGAGAAAAAGAGAAAGGAAAAAGAAGAAAGCCAAAAATGCAAGAATATATTTAATTCTAAACTGAACCAATTTTAGGTAACACTGACTACTTTACACAGGTAACTGGCTTCAAATATGGCCTGATCTTGTTTTCAAGACATGTACTTTAATATTCAACTGTTAAACATCTCCTCCTCAAAAGCTAGCTAGAACAATGCAACAGAACAAATGCTGCTGAAACTGCTTTTTGTAACGAAAAAAATCTTCAAACGTTGTCCCAAAAAAGCTTGTGCCTGTGGGTTTGCTTTCCCTTAACAAAGAATAACAAGAGTGATGACAGTCACTAAAAAGCCACCTACTAGAAGGCTGGATAGCATGTATATGTATTTGCATATAAACACATTTCTTAAAATTATAAGCACAAAGCAGCTTCCTTTCTCACAAGTCCATCTCCATGTTAGACTTCCCCATCATTCTAACTGTGGTCACCTCAGTACATATTCTAAGTATTTGATCTAAAGTGATTTATGAGGGTACCACCCCAACTCTTTAGTTCACATGTTTGTGGGTTTTTTCCATTGTATTTGACTTAAACTACTGTGTGTGCGTTCTGAGATACCACAGATCACTACATGGCACTGCAGTTTAAATTATTATCAAACCAGGTGCTAGCCAATATACCAGGCTGTCTCTGGACTGCAAGAATTCCAAATATAGGGGAGTATCCAGTGAGTAGAGAGACTGTCTAGAAACTCTTACTTCACCATAGCATCAGATGCCAAAGTTCAGCTGGAAAAGCACAACTGTGGATGAATTTAATTAGCTCTTTTTGGTCTTCTGCTCTTCCCCGTTTCTCTCAACTCTGCTTGGTGCATCTCTTCTTCCTGTCATCTATATACCACGGCTCAGGTGGGGCTTTCTGTCAAATCTCTCTCTCCAAAGCACCAGCTTTCTTCAGGGCACTTTTCCTCCACAATCTGGGCCCTTTACAGGCTCTAAATTTTTAAAAGTGCATTGATGATAAATATGACAATAAGGGATTAAGCAAAGCCTAGCTAAGCTCACTTTTAAGTAATAGTCTAAGTAGCATCTCCACAATGGATGCAAAAGAAGTCCCCATATGTTTTTGTAAGAAAGGAAACACAAATAGATGCATGAAGGCAGACCCAAGAACACAGCAATTTTACTTCTCATTCTTCATACTCTCAGTCCTAGACAGTCAAATATGACTATCTAAAATTCTCCTTTTCATGTTGCTTTTTTATGTGACTGTGTTTTCCCCACAGGATAATAATAATTATTCACAGAAGTTTTACACAAAAATGCTTTCCCATACCACCATATAGGGAAAAAATAGACTTCATGATTAAAACATTATGACTTTTTCTTGTCAGTGGCTTGGGCAAAAGCTGTCACTGAAAGAAGCAAAGCCTTGGAGTGCTCAGAAATAAATTGGGTTGATTTGACAGTTATGAGGCTCTGACATTTACATTCTGTGAATCCCTAATAGGATGTTCTCGTTGCTCATAAAGAGCATAGCCAGATGAAGTGTTTATGTTCATGCTTCAGAATTAATGTCACTGTGTAATAAAACATACTTCCTCAAATCAACAAGGACCCCATGTGCCACAGGGAAAAAGAAAGAATAAGCAAGGCAAAAGTACAGTGGTTTTACTTGTTGAGGATATAAAGGATGCAATGCAGGACAGAGCTGATCTATGTTTATGTGCAAAGGAAACCTCCCACCTGCAGTTTTCAAGCTAGGACAAATTATAGCAGCAGCTAAAAAGCAGAAGTTCTAATATAAATGTGGACAATGGTCAACTGTTTACTGCTTACTAATCCTTAAACCCTGAAGGGTGACTTTGTTTGTTTAAATAGTATCTTTCCCTTTTTATTTGCTGAAAAAATGGGGGTTTCTGAGTGAATAGTAGAACGAAAGAAGTCTGTCTTGCTACTCTTTTCTTTGCAAGCACCTACTTTGTTCACTTCCACCATTACTGTTTACCTGCACAACCCTTCCCCACCCTGCACTGCATGACAGCCACCTCCCCACCAGGTAAGGGCAGTGAGACTTACCCGGTGAGCTGCCAACCAGGTGGACCTGTCGAGCAGCACACAGCAGCTAAGTTCTGACAGTGTTTTGAATTAGGGCATTAGTTTGCGTTCCTCCTCTACTGCCATGCTGATTTTTATGGAACTTGCAGAAATTGGATCACCTTCAGGACTTCTATCCTCTCTTGAACTCAAGAAAAATTAATTATGGGTTCAAAAGTTATTGAAAATGAAGGGCAGAACAGATGGACAGACAGATGGAATGACTGCTTATGTTGTTGCCTAAGGAAACAGGCTAGCAACGCAGGAGTATCTTGGTAGTTTTGGTAATTTCCACCCTACCAGGAAGACTGTTATTCAGATTATATGCTCAGAATGTAGAAAGTAAAAACTACATGCATTAAGTCATTAGGTTCTATATCATGCATATCGACAACAGTCTGCAAGAGCAGACAGATGTGTTAGGATTTTAAAGCTACAAGGGCTCTCCATGGTTGTCTAAACCTTCTATATAACACAACTGAAAGAATCTCATCAATTTCTGCACTAAGTCCATTGTTAGTTAAGCTATAATGTACTTTGTAGAGAGCATCTTAAATCACAGCTTAAAAAGCCCACAAGTGAAAAAGAATCTGCTATCTCTAAGGTAAGTTGGTCCATTGGCAAGTTACCCTCAGTTACAGAGTTGTCTCTAACTTCTAGTCTGTTACTGTTGTGCAAATTATTGTGCAAATTTAGTCATGTCTCTTACATGGGTATCTGTACACTTTAAGTAATCCTTGATCTGTCATGATTACAGATCTAAACTAAAAAAAAAAAACCCACTTATCATGTACTGCAAACTTAAAATACTTATTTCATCTCTTTCCTGATCCCTTTACAAATTATCGGTAGCATTCTGGATATTTGGAATAACACTACTGGAAATAGTCAGATAGCTGTTTCATTACTGCTGTACAGAAAGAGGGACTCTCCTTTCTTCTCTTACATACTATTTCCAACGCACCCATCCTCCTGGTTGTAGCATCATAAGGGAAGAATGTGTTAAAAAATTTTCTACTGTAATTCTCATGTCTTTTTCCACTGCACTGACTTTCTAGAAACTATCCCTATCTTGTGTTCTTTCTCTGATCTATTCCTTAATATTTGCATGTATCAAAACCTGTTAAAAATGCAGCACTTTTGGTGAAGTTACTCAGTTTAGCTGCTATCACTGACTTCATGCAGTCACAATGTGCCATTTATGTAATATAGTAGTACCTGCAAATGTGAAGACATACTGTTTTTATAAATAATCACTTAGAAAAATCATATTCCACCACTGAACAGATTTGAGGGGGGCTGCCTTAATCCAGTCCCTATTGACAATATAACTGATTTTTAATACAACTAATATTAGCAAAGTTGATTTCATGCAGTACTAGTTTTATTAGAATGTGGGAGAAAGTTATGTTTTATATATGTTTGTCAGTACCTTTATCAGATAATTTTATCACCAAATAAAAGGCAGTAGAAAATGTCTGGTTGATAAGAATTTATCTTCCATAAGATCATACTAATTAGCATTAATTAGATTATTGGTTTTTATATTAGGCCCATGTCTTCAGCAATCTTATTCTCTGTTGGTGTTTCATTTCTACATAAAATCAGTGGTAGACTAACCACCCTCTAAATCTGTAGTTCCTTATATAAACCTCTCTAAAATAAGGGCACAATGTTTCATAACTCAGTAATATTGATTTCTTCACTACTATCACCTCTAGAAACATCAATGTGGCACCTTGCAGTTTGTGCAGTGTTCTGTAAAAATTACATGAATGTGACAGATATCAAAAAATACTCAGTGACCTCAGCATAACTTTCATGTTGTGTAGGAAGAGCTATAAAGTTACAGCAAAACAGATTTAAAATAGAAAGACTAAAGAGCCTCTGATTGACCACACATCCAGGTTTGGGCTAGTTCATGCAACCACACTTTCTTTTCATAGTTACTCTTATACAATATTCCACATTTTTATGGGCTTGCAAACTCAAATTGTAGGTCCTGCTTCACCAAAGTGGTTGTTTACTCTCTCACTTGTAATGTGCACCCAGACAAGGGTTTCCACAGTACAAAGATAGTAACATGAAACTGAAAGCAAAGCCAATGTAAAGGTTATCCACTTCCAATGGTACAGTACTCCTTTCCCTCCTCCACCTCCAATCCTATGAGCTTGCTGATCTCCCTTATCCCAGCACTGCAGGCTGCCTGTCTACATGCCAAGCTGATTCAAGAAGTTAAAACAGGAGAGAAATAGACCTGGGGGTGGGAGGTGGGTGTGTGGGTGCAGAAAAAAAGCCTGTTTAGCTCCCTGAATAGGCTCACTGTGGGGTCAGATGAGACCAGTGCAAAGGAAGTGATGGCAAATACAGTTTTGGAGACAGAAGTGGACAAGAAGTCCTTTTTGGCAGCAGATAAACTGATAATATGAGAAACTGAACTTCTAAGTTCTATAGTGGATAACTTCAACACACTTCCAAAAGGTGTCAAAACACTTCCAAAAGTTGCCTTAAAAGGAAAAGTGCAGCTTACAATTGGTACAATGCAGGCACTAGAGAACAGAGAAATCACGGCACAAAAAATTAAGCAAATAAAGATATACTGACTAAAAAATATAGAGAAACAAAATAAAGAATTCTATATTTTGGAATCAGAATTCAGCCAAAACACACATCATCAGACTTATGCCTTCATAATATTGATTTTGCCTCTTCTGCATAAGCTACAGTGCAGATTTTCTCCAAGTCTGCTGTTTCCTCCCTGCTGTGGCCAGGACAGACACTTTGATAGAGCAAAATTAGGCACAACTCAAACATTGAGTTTTCCACTCAGGTACAGTTTTTTCCAGAGACAATTCCTGACTACGATGTGAAGGTGAGCTTATGGGTCTCTTACCTTGATTCTATTGTTTCTTGTACAAGACTGGAGAGAGGAGCCATTACACTGAGCTCGTGCTTTTTGGGATTGGCCTGCCATCTTTTGCAGGGAACAGCCACTTCCATTGGAAATCTTTCCACCTGGTGCTTTGGAATCACAGTCCTAAATTAGGGGAAAAAAACTTGTCACTGACTTTATGTCAGTGATGAATGAGCATGAATCAGGATCAGAAATCCAGTCTTCACCCTTAATCCCTTTGTCCTTACAATGTAAATCAGCAGCTTTGGCACCCCAGTTTGAATAACAGCTGCCAGAAATGAGACAGATTTAGAGAGCATTATAACATCTGCACTGTAAGACAAGAAGAGCAAAGACCTCCCAGTTCTCAAGACTAGTAGAAAGAGAGAGGAATTGGAGTCACACCCCCTTGGCATGAGCCAGGTTCCAGTGGAAGGACAAGGGACTGAGCCTGCCAATCCTGCTAGCAGCTGCTGCCCACAGAAATATAACTCAGCTGGACAGGAAATGGTGGGAAAGAGTCTTGCTCTCCCCGATCCATCACAATAACTAAGTCTATACAATTATTCTACAGCTGGGAATATTATCTTCCAAACAACAAGATATTTATCTAAGACTTCATCCTCTCTCCAAATGAGAAGATGAAGTTCCTTTCAGGTTTTGAAGTCTCAATGATGAGTCGAAGTAAACACTTAATTGCTCTTATGCAGAGCCTGACCTGCAGTTTCACCTCTCAAAAGTCATGGCACAGCAAGGACTGAACAGTCTTTAGAAGCTGCAACTAGGAGTTGTCCAGATGTCTGAAGATTAGCTCCTCTTCTCCATCTTAGAATTACCTTCTGGTACCTCTATTGCCCCTTTGCAGCTGGGTGACTCCTCTGAACTTAGTACTACCTGGCCACCCATAAACCCCTTCTACCACACAAAGTTAGCCAAACATCTGGTCCAGGCCATAGCCAAGAAGAAACACCTTCAAGAAGGCTGGTCTTTGTCCTGACTGAGGACCCAGAAAGGGAATGAGTCACGATGGGGTCAGTGGAACATGCATCAGCAAGCTGTCATCCCTCAAAGGTAACTTGAGCAAAAGTATAATTTGCAGAGTGCTCCAGCTCCCAGTCCCCATAAAAGAGCAGCTCTCTTTTACACATACCACATAAAGAACAAAACCAACCCAGAAATGAGAAATCTCAGTCAAAACCACAAAAGTAAAGCCTGGAGATGAAACCTTTTAAGAGACCAGTGTCAAAGAAGTGACAAAAAGCTCCCAAAGAGCAATGACAAGATACTCACAGCTCCAGGATCATTTGCTGAGCCTGTCAGATAAGGCAGATGAAGTGTTTAGTACAGACCTTCAAATATAAGAGCATTCCCTCCCCTCAGGCTGCTAACTTACCACACCAGGGTAGTCCTTCTCTTCTTTCTCTAGGAAGATCTTCTCTAGCACCAGGAAGGTTAGGAAACCAATGATCACCCAGAGACCCAGAAGTTTCTGCTGCTGAAAGCTCTGCTCTTCTCCTGAAGGACAAGAGAGAAATCCTCAGGTCTCTGTCAAGTACAGTTTTTTCACATGTGAACCCACCACACCTCAGACAGCATAACCAGCAGTTCCAAGTCAAATGACAAGAAATGACAATGGAAAGATTCCCTCCAAGGTAAGAGGAGCAAACACATCTCAAAGCAGATTAGTTTAACTTGCTCATTCTTGATCTAACAGATAACCTCATCTCAGGTCACTCAGAGTGAGAGCTACCACCCCTTTTTCTTCAATAGCACAACCCAGAATATTTCCTGACAACACTGTAAACTTCCCTAAGGTCCAGAGGCAAGTAAAGGTTACATCAACAAAAATCCAGCAGCTATATCTACTGAGCAGCAAGCTCTGACATGAAATCTGCCATTAGTGGAGCTACAGACTCACCTTCCCCTTTCTGCCACACCCAGGTAAGTTATTAAGCCCATAGCTATAAACTTTCTTTTCAATTAGAGCCAAGCTTGTGAGATAATAATGCATTCAGTCTGGCTACAGAAATGGAGATTGCACTGCAATGGAAGAACAGAATGACTCTGTAACAAGGCTTACATAGGTCAAGGAGACCTTTATGGTTCAGGACAGTCTGAAGCAAACAAACTAGAGTAGGAAGACAGAGTAATTTGGGAACCACTGTAAAAAGGGGTAAAAAAGGACAGCTGTTTCTGCCTACAGTGCTAGAACTGTGAGAAAGAAGACAGAAGGCCCAGCAGATTTTAAATCATAGGACATAGGTGCAAGAAAGTCAGGGAAACCCAGGACATCTCCCTTCCTCTCTCATATTTTTAGCAGGGAAATGATTTCTGCAGCAACACTTGCTTTCTATGCTATCAGTTTTCTGAAGCAGAGAGACACAACCATTATAGGTTTCAACCCTGGCTATCTGAGGGATGAAGGAGTTACACTGATACCACAAATTCTATACCAACTCAGACAGTTTCATTTGCTGGCAAACACGGGTTTCTGTGATCTGTATTTCCTTTCCCTTCCCCGCCTCCCCCACCTCACCCTCCATTCTTAATTATGGCTCTATAGACCATTTTTCATGATTTCTCCTTGAACAAAGATTGCAAGGGCAACACATATGAGCTCCCATAAATCAAATACCCAACAGAGGGGCCCCAGTTAGTGCCAAGAAAAAGGCTCTAGGATTAACATTGTTATAGGGACAGATTTATAAAAAGATGCACCTGATCCCAAACTGAGGTGGTGCACAAGTTCATATACCAGACCACATACGCATTCATAACCTCTCATCAGGTTAAAGAAGCATTCCCTTTCCTTACAGAAAGGACAAAGGAAAATCAACAGAGACTTACAGGAATCCAAGGAAAGATAGGAGAATTTGATAGACAAGAAAACCATTGCAAGTTACTAAACATGAAGAAATCATGGCCAACTGAAGAAGCCTCTAATCTCAAAGTCTCTGGAGGACTGCAGAGTACAAAGACGAAGTATTACATGTGTGTTTACTGTTCTTGCATCCTTCCCTAGGCATGTGCTTTCATATATTATTTGAAAGAAAATACCAGCTTAGACCAGTTTTTGGGCTGACCCAGACTGGCTGGTCTTGTGCTTTCAGGATGGCACAGACTCAAAAAATGCAGCAGTAGGCATAGGATGGGCTGCTTCCAGGCACATAAGGCTTTCATACCTGTTGCTGCAGTGCATGTGTAGGCCCAGGCTTCAGGAAGCAGGTGCAGGAACACATTCCCCAGTAATCCACCAATTGCAAAACTCAACAACTGCTTCATACGGTGTGATCCAGCTAAAGGGAAAAAAAAAAAAAAAAGAAAAGAAAAAAACAAACAGACAAAAAACCCCCACACTAATCACAACTCATCCAGGAGCCAAAACATCTCCAGCTGAGATTTTGCACAAAGAAACATAAATTGGAAGTAGCCACAAAGCAAGCTTTCAAAGGAGAGAGCACAAAACAAACGGAGTGCAAGAAAAAGCCCTTGCACCACTTGCCTGGGATAGCAGTGTGTGGGAGGGACCTGGACCAAACAGGGTGAAAAACAATACTCTTTGTATAAAGCTCCATCCAGGGCTTACATTTGTCCAAGGACTCCCTATCAGATTCTCAGGTATGGACTAAAGCACCCAAAACAGACTTTCTATTTTAGAGAACACTATTTCTGTGACAAAGTCCTGTTCATTACTGTGCTGTTCAGTCACATCCAAGGACTTTTGGCTTCAGAAAGGCCAGGGCAGGTAGTGGGTTTACCTTCTGACTGCAGAGCAGCTCCCGTCTCAAATGGGATCACCAGCAAGGGGAAGACCCCACTCAGCCCCACCATGAATGAACCGATGAGGGAACAGATCCAAGCATCCAGCCGCTCACTGCTGAAAAGGTTTCCCCAGGACTCTGCCTCCTTCTCACACAGCGAACCAGAACTAGCAGCAACATGACTCTTGGGGAGCTGTTGAGCTCCACAGGCCGCAATCAGAAACAAGGAGAGCGTCCAATCAAGCAGAAGTTTTTGTTTTGTCATTGCTAAATGGTCTCAGCCAGGCTGGCCAATCTCTGAAAACAGAAGGGAGAGCAGTTCTGAGAGTGTGCTCATCTCTCCCTCCCATCATCCCAGAAGGCGGCCTTGGCCACACCATCCCCCCCCCTTCAGTGCCTTAGCACAGGTATGTATACCTGTATACATCTGGACATCTGAAACTCTTCCTGATTTCAACACAGCACCAAAGGACAGAGAGGTTCTTTATCACTGGTGTATGAAACTGCACATGAGACATCTTGTGAAAGCATCTGCCTTCAGTTGGGCTGGACAAGGACTCCAAGTACCCTCATCCTTGCCCTTCAGTGTCCCAAGGCTTTAGAAAAAGGTATTGACCAGAGATGCTAACCAGATAAATATTCTTTCTGCCATGCAACAGCATCCATGTAACAAATTAGGATGCAAGACAGGCAACATAACGGAAGTCTGCAAACTCATGAGTGGTGTAAAGATGGTGAAGAGGGACAGACTATTCACCATCTTGTCAGACATAAGTACTGGCAGCCACCACATGAAGTCAATGAGGGTCAACTTCACAACAAACAAATATGACCCTTCATCAGCAAATAACTTGTATGGTAGTACCTCTCCAAAAACGATGAAAAATTTTACATGGGTTCATCAAAAGACAGGGCAAATAGTAGAAAGGCAAATCTATTGATTGTTAATGGTTAAACAGCTCACATTACACTCAAGAAATTCCATATGTGAAAGGAGCTGGAGATTGGAAGGATACTTTAAAAATACCATATATGCTTGTCCTGTTTTCATCCTTTCCAAGAAGGATATTGGGTTAGATGGTCTCTTAGTCAAAATCAGCACAGCTGTTACTAAGAGCTCTGCAGTCATAAGAAAACTGGAGAGAAGAGAGCACGTTAGAAGAGGAAAATAAAGATAATTACACTCTCACTGGCAAACAGGAAGGGAAAGCAAATGATGTAAAGGCTGAAGTACAAATGTTCCTTCAGTCTTCAGAAGAAAATGTGAAATGTGACAAGCAAAATTAATTTGGAAATGGGAGAAAATAGCACGCTAGAAAAAAATAGCTTAGCAAATGCTCGCAAAACAGCCCTTGATTGAGAGGCAATAACAGCATTCACCTGAAAGCATGTAAAAAAACAGTCAAAGTAATCTCTGAAGCATTAGGACCATCTTTAAAAATTTACAGGAATATGGGAAGGCCACAAGAAGGCTGGAGAAGCATCATGCCTCACCTACCTTTTTAAAAGGAAAAAAAAAAGATGTGAGAAGACTTAAGAAGTTACAGACCAGTAACTTCAATCCCCTGAAGGATTCTTGATCAAATTAAATGATCAGTTTGTAGTTACCTATAAGATAAGAAAGTGATAAAGACACCAAAGCATTAAGTAACAGCCAGACAGAAAGGGACCTGACATTATCAAGACAAAATTCAGGGTGTTGGAGCCAATCTAAGGGCTCACTGCAGATGAAAAGGTGGTGTTGCCCCTTTTACCCACCCCTCCATGAAGCATCACCTCCCCATGCTCACACCGGACTCCGTGAGTGAGCACCATCAGAACAAACTAGCAGGGAAAACTATTTTTGTAAAGACTCGGCCCTTTGCCAATTTCATTCCCTGGATGAAAACACTAGCAGGAGGAAGGCACAGCTGCACCGGGCAATCAAAAAGAAAATTAAGGGACAGGGTCCCATTGCTCCTGGGAAGGAGAACATCAGTCTCCCAGCACAGTGACCATGGACATCAGGAGTGGGGATACAAGAAAGAATCAATGAAGACACTGTCTCGGTTTGGTGAGCTGTGCAAGAACCATCAAGACTTTCTGTGTAACCTCTTAGTTGTTTGTTTTTTGGTTGGTTTTTTAAGATATTTTTTAAAAAAAAAAAAAAAGCTCCTCAACACAGCAAGTTCAAACCAGCCCAGGTGTCTTATTGCAGTGTTTTGATCTGGCTGCTAAGGGTAGGATGGGGGCAGGCACGAGGCAGGTATGGAATCAAATAGAAGTTACAATACAGTAAGTCCAGTGTGCCACAAAGAAAAAGCATACATTGATTGAGAAATTAATTCTAAGCCAGTGGGTTTATGTTGCTACAAAGTAGGTAAATGTCATCCTGGGACAAACAGTAGTGACACTGTAGGTCTCACACAGGTGAGACATTAGCCAACAGACTGCACCCAGTCCCAGATATTCTTCTTCCTAAAATACATGCAAATATCTGAGACACTGCAGTGGAAAATAAAATTAGAGTGTAGAGAGCATGACTTGGAAAAACAACTGAAGGACCTGGGTGTGTTTAGTCATAGAAAGATAACACTGAAGGGAACAGAACAGCCTGCATACATTAAAAGTCACAAGAATGGGGGAAAGTGCTGAACTCTTCTTCCACAACAGTTCAAACAGTAAACAAGACCCAGTCTGAATATGAAAAAACAAATTTACATAGTGCCAAAGTCGTGATATACTGAAACAGGTTGTCTGTGATGCAGAATCTCTAACATTGGGTTTTTTGTTGTTGTTTTGGTTTATTTTATTTTGAGTAAAAGAAACATCTGATGCAGATGCTATTTTATTGCAAAGAAGATCCCTTCTCTGAAGTCCCTTCAGCCCTACACCTGTAATTTGATGTAAGTTGGAGAGATCCTTCTCTGCTGGCAGGGCCCTATGAAAAGGGTAAGATTTTCAGCTGTAAATCACTATTGGCACAACAACTTCAGAACAACAGGAATGGGGGGTCGGCAGCAAGAGACATTTTCATCTCTCATAGCACTCCATGCACCAACTCAATTCAGACGCTGAAGTGAATGGGAACTAAGCTGATGCTTGGAGAGCTAGTAACAACTGCAAAGACAGCCTGATGGGCCAGAGATGCTGCCCTCTGCCCAGCTCCACCACATTACACACCTGGGATGTTGCCAGGCCCTCTGGCTTGCCTCATCAGGATTCAGGCTCCCCCCCTACAGCTGTGCAAACAGACACACAAAACTGATAAAACTATACCACAGAATCCCCCAAATTTTTCCTTGAAAACAAAAAAAACCTCAAAAAGACAGAAAGTCCTTAAAATGTTTGCTGTCTCCTAACTGAACAGAGTTTCTTCTGCCCAGACAGGTTAAAGCCATCAGCCACAGAGGCATCTGTGCAGGTAGGTGATGGGACTTCAGGCAGATTCCACCAGCCACAGTCTTCTCTCTGCTTACTAGCTGCTGCATAAAAACCTGCAGTTTACAGAATTTCCTCCTTTAAAATAGACGGGCACCCCTTCCAACCTGGGAGCAGACCTGACAGACCTCTTCGTCCTTTATGACAGGATTAGACCTGGAAAATTACTGAAAACTTTGTGAGGAACACAACAAAAATAAATCAGGATTTATACATCCATACACATGCCTATGAAGAGGCAACAAATACACAAAAACCCCCGACTGCTCTCTGCAGCTTGACAATGATGGGAAGCAGCCCAAGTCTCTTCTGCAACATCGCTGTCACAGCTTTTGAGAACCAATCTCGAAAAGTAATCATTGCAGTTGATCCAACAGGTTGATTTCTTGCACTTCATCCTCCACACTTGTATGTGCCCCAGAGGACACCTGAAAGGATCTTTGACTAAGTGGTCAAAATCCTGAAGAGAGGCAGTAGCACACAGGACAAAGAGCATATCCAGGACTCTGAAAAAGGTCTGCATACTTGGCTTCATGTCCCTCTTCCTGCAGCAAAAAGGGTCAGGTTCCTCCAAAAAGGTATGGTAGTGAACAATAAATGGGTATAAAAGAGTACAAAACTGATCCACTACCTCACATTTGTGTCGGCCAACTTTCTGTGGTCCACAGATCTTTATTCTCCTGTTACTCACTGAGGGAAAACCAGCACATTTCTTTACACCTGTGCTGCCTGACCACCAATACCTCCTAACTCAAGAACAACTCCATATCTCATTCAATAAATTCCTGATGTCTATACAACATCTACAAGAAACTCCGTGTATTACCCAAGACACCCCTAAACTGATCTTTGTGCCCAGCTAATTATTTAGAGCATATTGCTTCTTCCTAACACATCATAACCACTTGTTAAAAAAAAAAAAAAAAAAAGAAAAAGGCACTTTTTATCTCTATAGCCCCTTTGCTTCTCTGTCTTATTAGTAAAGTCTATAAATTTAAACTGGTTGCTCCTAAGACAAATATTTAAGGGGATAAAGAGGCACAGTAAAGATGTAGTCCTAGGAGAAAAAATGCTCAAGAGGAGGAAAATAATACACTGCCACTACAATTGCAGAAAGTCTCTACCTACTCTTAAACAACAGCATTTGTTTCTGGAACTCAGCTAGAGAACATCTGAGAACATCTTGAGAAATTTCTAGAGAAAACACCTGCAGGTTTTCTCAGAGACATCTGTGGTCACCATAAGGCAGAGGCATAACCAGGTTCAGAGAGATATTTATCAAGAAAGGTGTATCACATATTTAAGAACATGCATAGGAGAGGTATAGGCAGCACATTGTTTATTTATCAGCTTTGACAACTGCTCCATTTGGGATCACAGCTCCCAGCCGTGCTGGATCACAACCTGGTCACCGTTACCACTGGCAGCACTCTCTGGAGCTCGTGTCTGAGCATTCAGGAGTCAGGCCTGCTCAGCTCCTTCTGAAATGGTCTCAGAACTGGAATAACCATGAGGTTTTCCAAGTTCAGGAAGAACCAACAAATGAAAATTCATCATTTACACGCTCCTGAGCAGGGGCAGAGGGAGGTTGCACACCAAGCCAGGAGACCCATGAGGCTCCCTGGGCCTACTCCACTTCACTGAGCATCTCTGTAGTTAGCAGTGACTGAGAACACACAGACAAAACTTAGAATGCCAAGGCAAAAACCTATTGGAAAAGAGAAAATAAAATACTGACATGATGACTATTCCTGCAGCAACCCATCTACTACTCTCCTAGACACTCTACTACTCTCCTAGACACTCTGCCTTCTCAGACCACACAGCTTCATCTCTGCCTCAGCGCCATTGCTCATTGCCACACATTTTAGATGTTGTTGAAGGGGAAGAAATGAGAAAGAAAAAGCTTTTTTACAAGCATTTTCTCAGGAAGCTGGTTGCCTGGCCTTACAGTTGCAACAGAGTACTGCATGGAATGGAAAAAAAAGTTCATTTTCCAGGGAGGAAGCATATTTTTCAGCCAAAAAATTCTCCATGAGCCACCTCTCTCCATCGGCCCAGTGGAGACCTTTGAATACCTCCTGGAGGCCCTTTCCTCTGCAGAGGCACAAAAGGTCTCCAGTACTCCCTGAGCACTCCTTTCTCTCTGAGTCACTGCCCATCTTTAGGGAATACACTGCTCTGGTGGACCCTTCCCCTTTGCCCCATCCCTCTCATAAAAACCTCTTTGCACAGAGACTCGCATTTCTGCAAATGACAGCATTTCGCAGCTAAATGCAGGGGATGCACAGAATTAATAGGTGTATCGCAGATGGGACCAGATTACAGACGCCGGGCAAACCTAAGAACTGGCAAGGAAGGCAGTTAAAATCGAGTGAACGCTACCGGAGTTTGGGAGGCAGCGACTCTTTCCCCATCCTTTTCATCCCCAGGATGAAAAGAGGAAAGTTTGCGGATCAGACAATGGCGTTCACGCCCCTCGGGGCTAGGTGGAAACTCTCTCCTCCCAGCCCACTCTCCGTGGCAGCCCGAGGCAGGGGCCAGGTACACCGTCCTCCTCCCGCCCCGTCACCCCGCGCCGCAGCCCTCGCCAGGGCCAGGCTCCGACACCGCTCTCGCCCGCGGGCGACTAATGCAGCGGGCCCGCTCGGGTCGTTGCCTCTCACATCACGGCGGACGGGACAGACAGCGCGGGTTTTCCATTTGAGGACGCTGAGCAATGCAAAGTGAGACATACTTGCCGCGGGGCAATTGGTAATTAACCCTGCTCACGCACCTCGCTGGAGCAGCATCTGCCGGGTCCCTGCGTCACCGTGGCCGCGCAGACCCGGCCCCCCCGCTCCGCGCGTCCCGCGGGGCACCCCCTGCCCGAGACCCTCTCCCGGCATCGTCTGCCGGAGGAGAGACTTCCAAAACTTTCTCGTCTGCCTCCAGCCACAGGCACTCCCGCAAAGGCGGGCTGGACCGTGGGGACGCCGGCTCCGGGAGCCCGTGGGCAGCTGGGGCCCTGGGGCGGGTGGCGCGCAGCCCACGGTCCCGCCGGGCCGGGACACGGCTGCCGGAACCAGCGGCCCGGCCAGGCGCTCCCCGCCACGTCTTTCCCAAACTTGCCCCGCGCTCGGCCGGGCCGGGCCCCGCCAGAACAGAGCTCGGCTCCGCTGCACACAGCGCTGTCGCCGCCGCTCACCCTACCCTACCCTACCCTACCCTGTCCTGTCCCGTCCGTCCGTCCCTTCCCGTCCCGCCGCCGGCCCCGCTCTCCCCGTCCCGCCGCAGCTGAGCCGCACTGCCGCGCCCGCCTTGCCCCCTCGTCCCACAGCAGCGGAGCGAGGGCGGCCCGGCGGCCCCCCGGCCGCGCCGCCCCGGTGCCGCCACCCGCCCTTACCGCGCACCGCCGCCGCCGTGCCCCCGGCCGCCGCTGCCATCCAGCCGCGGCTCGGCGCGGGCCTGCCCCGCCCGGCGGCCCCTCGGCTTCGGCTCCGCCTCCCCCGGCCGGCCACGTCGGTCCCGGCCTCCCCGGCACCAGCGCCGCCGCCCCGCCGGGACCCGCCGCCGCCGCGCTCCCGCTTCCGGCCGCCCCCCGGCGGGGCGGCAGGGGGATGGCGGGGGCACGGCCAGCCCGCGGAAACTGAGTCCCTGGGAACACAGCGAGGTGTCCGCGCACGTCCCCGGAGCGGGCTGCTGGGGCAGAAACGCGCCCGCTGTGCGAGACCTGCGCTTCTGGAACATGCCGGCCGAGAGATGTTCGCTTTGTTTTTTAATCTCTCTAAATGGATTATAAATTCTTTGGGCTACAGATGTGTAGAGACAAGCACAGTGGAAACCGGTTTTGGAGCGGAATTTCTGGAAGTTGTTAGAGCAGAAAAAAGAATGGCAGCCTCCTCTAGGGCTGAGCCTAGAAATGCTTTTAAAAGATACAATGACTTTTAAACATACTTGCCTCCTCCTCTCACGTTCGTTACAACCTTCGTGATGATACCTATGTAACCTCAGAGCTCCGTAAGCATTGGCGTCCTGACTGTTTAGTGGTTGAGAACACACACGGTTCTTACAGAGATTTGCAGAAACTGCTTGTGCTTAGGAAACTAGGTCGGAGGAGAATAAAGATTTACTTTTGTACAAGCCAAGCTAGTTTGGAACTATATTGTTTCCAGTATAGACACTTTCCAAAATTTACTGATGTACCTTTTAGTTCCACCTCTTACCATCTTCCCTGAGACACAGAACTTGTTCTTCACTTCAGTTTTTGGAATGAATTCCGTTCCCCAAGGAGGCAGTGCTGATGCTGACTCTTCTTTCTATGGTTTCACCCTAGTCCCATTACATCATACCGATGTCATGCCCTGGAGCAGGAGTTAGGAATTAAGTCAGCCACAGTCATCTGCAATGGCTTTCTGCATTCACGTAGTGGCAGCACAGTCCTACAGGCTACTGCACTGCAAATGCAGTTAAGTTGTATCTTTCTCATATGCAAAGAGAATGTTTATATAGGAAGCTCAATTTTGAAAGCAAACTTTTTAAAGAAACAGTATTTTGCATTTTGTTCTCAGATTGTACAATCTATGGTTCTTCTGTTCCACAGCTGCTTTCCTACTGCCTGAATAACTATCATCAGCCTTCCTGAGCCTTGCTCCAGTGACATAGTTCCCTGTGCCAATGGATCATAGCTGTGACTGTCACAGTTACAACAGGTATCTCCTCAGGTACCTACTGGTACCATGGTTTCAGAGAAATATGTGGGAGTTTGCTTTTGACTTCAGCGATGTAGGAACTCACTTCAAGACTTTCAGTTTTTATGACAACCTACCATAAGTCAGCACAGGAAGAATTCTGGCAGAAATGTTCACTCAGGAGCTCACGTCATCAGGTGTCAGCTGCTAGTGCACTGTACATCAAATAGAGCTTTTACACGGTTGGTGGCTGTGTATTGAATTTTCAGTGCTAGTCTAGAGATCAGTATGGAAAAATCAGAGTCCAGAAGTCTTGGTCCAAAATTTGGTATTTAGTCACAGCTGGAGCAGGGATCTGGAATGTTCTCCTGCCTCCCCCAAGCCACAGAACCACTTCAATATGATTTATGTGAAAATGACATTTAGGTTTCTGTATTCTTTACTGAATTGTTTCCTCAGCTGTGGGGAAAAAAACCAAAACCAGATCAATTCTAAATGTAGACTAACAAAACCAGACACTATATATTCAGTTCTCTTTGACTTATAACTGATTTTCTTGCCTCCCTAATGTCTTTACTTGGATGTTTCCAACCCTTGCTTCTTGTTTACAACCTTTGTGGTTTCTTGTGTCATTCTTGCAGGCATGGGGAAAGGCAGACAGCTTTCCAGGGAAAAAAAAAAAAAAAAAAAAAAAGAAAAAAGAAAAAAAGAAAACCATTATCGTTCACTGGCACCCATGAAGACATAGGGTACACCTCATGCATGACCCCTGAATGCTGATGCGTTATGTATCCATAAAAGCCAAGAGATATTTGCTGTGGAGCATGGCAAATCTTTTTGTCAATTAATTTGGTTACTGAAAATTGTCACTCAAAAGTATTAGTCAAATAATGACAAATGTTATGTACAGATTGATTTTATTGTTATCATTGTCTTTTAAAGTCCTACTTCGATCGATAAAGGAGTATACTATTGTCTGGGTCACCCATCTAGAGTATTCCGGTTGAAAAAAGTCGTCTAGAGTATTCCGGCTGAAAAAAAAAGAATAAATATAAAAGGAAACCCGGAAAATCAGTTATTCTCACTCTGCCGATTGGTTCCTGAGACGACTGGAGCGGTAGCTCACAGGCTCGGGATCACCCACCCTGCTGCCGCCGGAGCTGCAGTTGTGCGGAGGCACCGCGGGGCGGCGCTGCCCGCCCGCCCAACGGCGCCGCCGGGACCCGCGGGGATCGCACCGAGCGTCTTCCAGCGGGGAAGCCGGGAATTCCACAGGCGTCGGGGCAGGAAAGTTATGCACCTGCTAGGGTAGATACGATCTTTCGCACAGCGACTGGACACAAGCAACTAAATCCAAGCGTGGCACTACGTGAGTGGCCTTGGTAAGGCACCTGAACGCCGCGGGCAGTTAGTGGCACCTGGCAGCGACAGCCGGGCAATGGCTTGTTCTGCCATCCTTGTTCCTGTCCCTGGTGTGCCCAGTCGGGTTTGGGGAAGGAGGCTGGTGCTGCTGTACCGCTGATGGTCTCTCCCCATGAGGACGAGGTGTTGTGCTGGCAACACACAAACAGGACACAAACAAGCGGAGACTCGGGATAGTGCTAAATCTTCCCCGAGTCACTCCAGTGCTATGAGAAGCTTTCCTTTAGCCAGGCACAGCCTCAGTGGGATTTAGACCTCGAGTGTCTCAGAAAGCTTGGTGATCATCTACTCTGGTTGAAGGAGGGGGGCCCTGCGGAGGAGCCTGGCTCTCTTGCCACCGCGGGGAGGTGGTCTTCCCTAGGAAAACATTTTAGTATCTGAATTTCCACCACAAAACTTGCTAATAAAGGAGTCAGAGTGGCTTAGTAAATTCATGCTTCCTCACACCTAATAGTGCTCTCTGTACTCTGTCCCCAGGATCATCTTAAGCATATTCTTTCTTGTTTTGTAGTCAGAAGCTTGCTTTTGAAAGAGGGTGGGACATGAATGGTGTCCTGAAAGCATGCTAACTGCAAAGAGAAGGTACCAGAGCCTCAGCAAAATCTCTAGAGAGGTCTCATCAAAATGTTTCTGGAGGGCTGAGTGTAAGACTAGATGTTAAGCACTAACAGATAGGGCACAGGCAAGCAGAGAAACAGGGGCAGACCATGAATGTGGACAGGGCAGAAAGATCTTTAAAAGTTCTTCCCGGTTAAGTTGGTTAGGCACTGAAAGAGATGTCCAAGGTTTCTGTGGTATCTCTTGGAGATTTTTAGCAGTTCAGCTGGCCTTGATCTTGAGCTTTCCAACCTAATGTTTTCTATGATCCCCTGGTTGAGAATCAAAAAACAGTATCAAGGGGTAAAAAGTAAATTGGAGAGAGAACTCTCTAAGTGTGTGAAAGGAGCTGTGAGGCCACAGCAGTAGGCACTTTTGCCCATTGTTTGGTGGGCGCCAAAGGCAGTAACACTCTTGCCTGGAAGTCCTGCTCTGACTCATCCCAGGAGACATTTCTGCAAGGCACAGCAGAAAAGGAGAAGTGACTGCTGAGCCCTGAAGCAGGGGGGAGGAGGGGAGCCGGCCCCATGGAAGCTCAGAACAGGGAATTTTAGTCTTACTCATCATATTATTTTTATATTTGGGTTTTCAGATGTAAACCTCAGTATTTCTGTCAGCATATTAACTCTGTGTGCACCTCAAGTTTGTCCACTAGCTGCAGGGACTCCTGTCTGCCTTACTCCATGCAGACACACAACTTCCAGCTGGGAGCTCAGTCTGACTAGCAGTTTACTAGTGTTTGTAAGGAATAAATGAACTGCCTGGTCAGTGATGTTAAATCTGGGCAGAATTCAGTGTCATGCTGGAGAAAGAAGAAAAAAGACAGGCTTGGTCTGAGAAAGATATAGCCAGAGAGCAGGTTAGGGCAGATGAGTCAAATGTGGCAGATGAGCCTAGAGGATTTGCAGAAGTTGGAATTGAGATTTGTGCTGAAAAGGTGATCTACCTAGTCTTAACAAATGTAAGCAAGAAATGGAAGGGAAACCTATATGATCACAAAAAACAAATAGTGCTGGAAGGGCTAGCTGAATCTAAACCTCTAGCAAAAGACAAGCATGAATTCTTTACTGAGGTTTCAAGCTTAAATAGTGAGGCCACAACAGTACCCTGCCAAGCTAGGTATCAGTATGTGTTACGTGTGTGATACACGATGGTCTTTATCTTATATCTAAAATGTAGTTAGTTCTGGGTTTTGACCATGAAAGAGGGGTTTCTTATGTTTTTCAGAACTTGATAATGAAACCTCTGATTTCTGTAACATGTCTCCAGGGTACAGACCCAGCTATGGTTCCTTCACTTTTGTTGACAGAGTACAGGCTGCAGTTCTGTATGGATGTTTCAATATTAGTGTTGCAGGCATACAAATACTTTATAATCAACATTCACACTTTCATTCTCTGCACATCCCTCCTTAGTGAGGGCCATATTCTGAACCCTGGTGCCGAGATTCAAACTCCCAGTAACTGCAAGTAGTGAGACCTGTGCTGTCACTCACCTTGAGAACTGTAGGCTTCAGGCTGTACAGAGCTACATAACCTGTAAGTGGATCAGCCATCACTTGGCAGAGTTGTAAGTGCAGTAGTTATAAGGCATGGTATGCATAGAAGACTTAAATATCAGGTCCCTGAAATGTAGGTGTTAATGGAGTGCAAAAGGATCTCCAAAGCAGTACTACTGTGGTTCAGAACAATGCTTACCTCAAGCCAGCAGAGAAAAATTAAATTCTCCAAGTTATTAAATTCAGGAGGATCCATTATTAGCATTGGCCACTCAAATTCTAAGTGCAGTGATTGCAGCCTAGTCCAATTTTCTTCTAATGAGGAGGTCACAACAGTGTAGAGATCAGTGGTTTAGAGTCTCCTTCCAGACTCTTGATTAATCTGTGCAGTCTCCATTTGGGTAAAACACAAAACTGCTCAGTAGATTGGTACAAATAGTTCTGTAAAAAGACCAAGGGGAACATCTCCTGCTATATTTCAATCTGACATGCTGCATTATGAAATAAATTCTCAGAGACGGAAGAAAACTATGAGATCAGGGTTTTTCCATTTCTGTTTGTCTAAGGTGACAGAAGTTGTATAAAGCCGGCACTAAAAAAAGCACAATTGATAGCATAGTTCATCTGAGGTGCTCAAAGTAGGTGGGGTAAACCCTTTTTTTTTTTTTTTCTTTTCTAGATGACAAAGAAGCCCAGGACTGGAGCAATAGTGGGAGTGTCACAGTCAACACTGAAACTTAGTAGAGGATTCAGAAAACAAATAGCAAAGAGAATTGTCACTGAATTGCAACTGACATTCACTGACATGTTACCAGTAATCTGAGAATAATCTGTTACCAGTAATCTGAGAAACTTGACTTTTTGGTTAAACAGAACAATTCATATGCAACGTCCAAGATGAGTAGTCCACTACACAGCAATGCTTTTCTAGTGCTATGATCAAGAGAAATATGCAAGCAGAAGTAAATTTACCAGGGACATCGAGAGGATTAGTATAAGAAGGAAACAAGCAGCCTGGGGCAAGAAAAACTGTGTAGATACCAACTCAAAGTAAGTCTTAGGAGGAGAAAATTGGGATGCAGACATAGCACCTCAAAGATGAGCTCTATAAAACTATACCTATAGTTGGAGATGGATGGTGTCAGATACAGTAGTGATAGAGAAAAGATAGCTGAGAAAATGTTTTAACCAGCCATATGTTTTTATATTTATTCTCAGGCATTTACTTAAACTGTGCAAATGCCTCTGCTGGTTGGCAGAGCCAGTGGTCTCCTAAAGATCACAGATCCTGAGTTTGAAAGCTTATCTACCGTCCTCTTTTCTCCCTATTACCACAGACCTCTTCTCAGCAGGCTGGGGCTTTGCTCCCTGAATGCTGGGCTTGTGCTACACAGGTGCCCACCCCTGATAACACAGCTGAGGAGCCCAGAGGAAGTTATACAAGATGCTTTTGTCAACACTCCTTCCCACATAGACCATCTCCAGTCTCCTTTGTTACTGTAAATTGACATCAGAGCTGCTGAATCATGATACAGTAGTCAGAAAAATGTTATTTATGTTGTAGAAACAAGGCCCCCTCCCTCTCATTGTTTCCTGCCTGTGTCAAAATGGAGTCACTGATTTTTGTCCTAGCTCCTCCTGCCCTGGCACTTTAGGTGAAGTTGTCTGAGTTCTCCTGCTTCAGGCTAAGATAAAACACATATACAGATACAACCAAGATTTGATTCTGACGTGCTAAAAGACTGTCTCGCTGAGCAGACGCTTTCTGGACAGTTCACCATGAAAAGTCATTTGGAACCAGTTTCTGAGAGATCTGCCTACAAGGTCAGAGCCCCAAGGGAATTTTTCAGACCATACGCTGTACACTTGAAAAGCTGACCTCCCACAGAGAGGACTTTTTTGCACTACAAAAGATTTTGTTGGGGTTAGTTACAGCAGGCTTTATTCCTAAGCCTGTGGATGGAAGTGAACTGTGTTTTGACTTTTCAGCACTGTAACTAAATTCCTAACAAACCAGGATGCTGAGGAAAGAAAACAGTGTCGTATTCAGAAAGAGATGTGTGGAATAGAAGGACTTGCAAAGCATGAGACAACATAGAAAGACACAAGAAGGACATACAAAAGACAAGAAAGAGACAGGAGGTGACATGGTTATGGTCAGGGAGACACTAATGACCAGAGACAAGAAATTACCAAAATACTTAAAACATACAAGGAGAAAGACTGAGCTGTGTCAAAGAGAAAATGTGAGAGGCCTGGCAAAACACAAGAAAAGCCAGAGATCATTGTCAAGCCATCAAAAAACTTAATGATGATCAAAATTTTCTATGTATAAATTCTAAGCATTTAAAAGTTTTATGTGCAGATAAATACTTTTCAAAGCCCAGTGAGATTTAAC